AGTTTATATCTGATCTGTAAGTGAGAGGCAGAGAAAGAGGGAATGTGCCTGGCATGGGCTTTTGAAACCTCAAATCCCTCCCTAGTGACACACCTCCCCCAGCAAGCCACACCTCTTAATCTTTCCCAAAACAGTCCACTAACTAGGGACTTAGCATTCAAATAGATGAGCCTGTGGGGCCATTCCCACTCAAACCACCATGCTCTCTAATGGGTTATACCAGCTGGTGCCACCGTTAGGTGCACTGGTTGGTGCTCCCCATGGCTGTGACCAATACCTGATGAATTCAGTTTATAGGATGAGGGATTAGCTTGGGCTCATGGTTCAGGGGATAGAGTCCATCATGATGGGGAAGGCATGGTAACGGTGCCTCATCTGTGACGGGGGAGCTTGAGGCACAGCTTGTTACCCGGGAGCAGGGAGCTCAGGGCAGGAGCAGAGTTGGCCTGTAACCTCTCAGAAGGCTGCAACCAGCAAGTGTCCAAGTGTTCAAACACGTGAGCCTGTGGGGCACGCTCCACAAATTTTAACAGTGAGAAGCATGCTTGTCTGTTGAGGAAACACCTCTTCTCTCCCTGCCCAGCTTTTCTGCTTAGTTTGTGTGGTATTTTGTAACGTGCTCAGTAACTGGTAGAGAGAGTAGGCAAATTTTTGGAAGTCAGTCTCTCCAGGTCTCACTTTGTTCATCTGTAAAATGGGAGCTATATCACCACACTCCTCTGCCTTTCAGATTTCTCATGAGGATGAAAAGATACGCCGAGTGTGAAAGTTAGAAGGGTAAGGCACTACTTGAGGGCGAACGATCACCTTGAGAATGAGTGGAACAGGTTGGGGAAGAGAAAGGAGGTCATTGGATGCTAGCTTTTAAATAAACCACAACATCTGTGAGCTTTTTTTAAAAGAATTTATATTGTATGTGTGCTTTCCGGGTGCCTGTGGAGGTCAGAGACTCTCAGCTCCTTTGGTGTGAGCCACTCTGCTGTGCTGGGTACCAAACATCAATGCTCTGCAAGAAGAAGTTCTCGTAACCACAGAGGCACCCCACCAACCCCATACCTGTGTTAATATCTTAATGAAATGACTTATACTCCAGGCAGCCATGCCTGTGTGGCCCAACAAGCACCTTTATAGTGGCAGGAAGTGGCTGTCCACCTGTCTGTCTGGTGGCTGTCCACCTGTCTGACTGTGAAGTGCTGCCCACAGATGCTCAAAAGTGGACCCCATTTTAACAACCTCTCTTGTACTTAACATCAGTTTGTTTTGCTTAACTCACTCCAGAGAAGGGGGTCTAACCTCAGCACTGTGGTACAGGAGGCCAAGGGCGCTGTCTGTGACAGCTGCGTGAGTGATGTTTTCCACATCTGTGTCTGTTTTCTTCTCATAGTGAGTAAGAGAACGAGGTCTCTGGACCTCTCGTGCTCACCAACAGTTTTGGAAGCTCTCCACTTAGTGAGGCCTCGGAGTTCCCGGGGGAGAGGTGCTTTGGTGTGCTCTAGCAGCTCACTTCAGTCAGCCACCTGCCTTAAAGCCTTTTCTGTTGTTTGTGACAGGGTCTCATGTAGCCCAAGCTGGCTCCAAACTCGCTAAGTGGTTGAGACTGGCTTTGAACTGATCCTCCTGCCTCCACATCCCATGGACTGGAATTTCTGAGGGGTGTGTGTCACTGCACCCAGCTGACTCGAATTTCTTTCTCTTCAAAGTATCCTATCTTCAGAATCCTGGACTTCTCATCTCACAGGGGCCTCTCCCTTCTCAGAAGTCCCAAGAGCACATCTAAGACTTTCTATGAGAGCATTTCATAGACTCTCCAAGTAAAAACGAATAACTAGTATTTCATATATTAAGCAGTTAGACCCAAACAATTTTGTAGTAACTAAGTTATTTAAGTCCTAGTAACTGTTAGAAAAAACAGTGCAATACGTTGAAAACATTATTACTTTATCTCATTTTTTAATTTAAAAAAATATGCCTTTATGTGTGTGTGGTGGGCAGTACGTGCACATGAGTGCAAGTGTCTTTCAGGGCTGGAGTTATAGGTTGTTGGAATGGAGCCAGGGACCTTTGCAACCTGCTCTTAACTGCTGAACCATCTCTCCAGCCTGTTTTATCCCATTTTGAAGTCACCCCTGTCATTTACTGATGGGATTGTGTGTCTGTCAGAGCCCCAGAGTTTTTATTTCCTCTACCATTCTGTCATGGCAGTCAACAAAAACCCCAGCTTTTACAGACACACAATGGCGCAGGAAAGATGGGCCTGACCCAGTGTTGAGACAGTGAAGTCCAGGGAGCTGTTAGGACGCACAGGTCCAGTAGATTTTGAGTATTGACATGTTGCCTTTAAAAACTGAAAATGCCCCATAGTAACTGAGTGAATTAGCTCTCCCGTTCTGGGAGCCACAACTGTGGTTTGGCCACAGTTCTGCTGCTCCCACTGGTGACAATGGCTGTATTCTGCTTCTGTGACAGCTACCTGAAAACACACATTGTATTCCTCATCACAGCCTTTGAAAGGTCAGGGCCGTGTCTAATTGGTCTCTGTGTCCGCCGTAGCACCTCTCAGGGATGGTAGCTAGCATTTAATGACCTTTACAGAGGCAGGGCATCCACACAGGCCACATGATCATTCTCTTCCCAGGACACTACTCTACCTCAGTGAGCTAGCACGGTGCCTTGCTCCTCAACACCTCGTCAGTGTTACTTAAAGAAATGAACTTGTGTGTGCTTACTTTGGTCCACACCTCGATTCCTGACAGCAAAGCAGAGCAATTCATAGGCCCCAGTCAGACCGAGTAGATGCCTCTACACAGCCAGTGTGAGGTGGGGCTCAGCATGCTGGACACAGCTCCTCACTTGCTTCTGCACTCCGATGAGCATTTTAGCCTTCCCTCCCCTGTGAAGCGTGATAACAACAGTACAGGGGAGAATTGTAAACGCCGAAGGAGATGTTGCCTGCACCAGGGCTTTGAAGGACATCCACGTGGTGTGCCCTAAAGGATTACAGTTCAGCTGTGGACCAGCAACCACGGGCACACCCTACCCTTCTCTTCCTGACTGGATTGATGGGGGAGGGGAAGACTAAGCGGAAAGGACTGGGGACGGAGGGGGGGCGGGGCACAGGGGGCTATAAGTAGCTATTTCTGATTCCCAAGTGACCATGCTTTAGGCTGAAGCTGAAATTCCCTGTGAGCTGCACTAATGGAGAAATTAGTATCAGTTGACATAGTAGCATATGCTCTGAAATGTTCTCCCATTACGCTTCATGAGAAATGGCAGGAATTCCTGGTCCATTCTAGGAAATCTGCCGCGACAACGTTAGCCTCTGGGAAAGCATGCCCTGATATCCCCTAGGCTCTGAAAGTCAGCTGGTAACTCCAACTTCTGAAGGATGCACAAAGTATTACTAATTTCTTAATTAAATATTACATTATTTCTTTTCAATTTCATACCGTGTATTTTGATCATATTCATCTTCTCTCCCCAACTCCTCCCAGATCCACCCCTACTAACCTGACGTCACATCCTCTTTTTAGTTTTTGTAAGAGTCTAGTAAGTCAAATTTGTGCTGCCCAAATACTCTTGGGTGTGGGGCCATCCCCTGGAGTATGGTCACCCTACCAGGGGTCACACCCTTAAAGAAAACTGACCCACCCTCTCACCAAAGCTATCAATTGCCAGTAGTTCCTTTCCTCATGGTGGGACTTTATGCCAGGCTGAGATTTTGTACCGCTTGAGCTCGGGCAGGTCTTGTGCATGCTGTCCCAGAGCGGGGAGGACATATGTGCGACTATCCTATTGGTGTCTGGGAAACACTGCTCCACTGGAGTCTCCCGCTGCCTCTGCATTTTACAATCTTCCTGTCCCCTCTTCCATGATAATCCCTGAGCGTTGGAAGAGGGGGTGTGTTATAGATGTCCTAGTCAGGCCTGAGAGCTCCCAGGTCTCTTACCCTCTGTATTGTGAACCTGTTAGGGGGTCTCTGTGTTAATTGCCGTCTCCTGCAGGAAAAGCTTCTCCGATGAGGCTTGAGAGATGCACTAATCCATGGGTATAATGATAGCTCATTAGGAATTAGTTTAATACTACGTCCATTTAACAGACTCTAGCACCTATGACCTGTCCAGCTACAGGTTCTTAAGGCTCAAAGTCTGTGAAAGAAAATTGTCTTTGTCCATCAACAGAGGGCTCATGAAAACATCTCTTATTCTTTGAAGGGGAAAAAAAAAATACTGTTTTCGTGAAACTGAGCATTTCAAAGCAAATGTTATTCTGACAACTTTGTGAGTACCTGCTGTTTGTTTTCAAGCTAATCAGCGTGTGTGATATTGATTGGCCAGTAGTGACATTTTGAAAACAAGTCTTCGCTGTCATTGGTAAGTGTGTGCTCTCTCACAAGCCAACAGCTCTATTAGGGAACCATCAGGACTGATTTGCAAGAAGGGTCTGTCTCTTTCAGTGCTGGTAAGGAAGCAAAGAAAGAAGGAACCAGGAGAGAAGGGAAGACCCGAGCTTTACAGACTGTGCAAGGCAGACAAGTGCCTTGGGGACCCAGGAGCTTGACAAAGCAAAACAACAGCTGTCATTTAGCTGGGAAAGTCCAAGGCATCCCAGCTCTCACACAGGATGTGTGTTTCACCCTCCTGAATCCTCACAGACTCTGGAAGTCAGTATTATCTCTGTGTTATGATGAAAAAAAACGGAGCCCACATCTGCTCAAGGACAGAACGCTAGAAAGGGCTTGAGTTAAGATTCAAGCCATGTCTGACCCAGCAGCCCAGATCCTTTCTAGAACATTCCTCTGATTCAAAGAACAGGCTGAGACACAGTGTCACAGTACATCGTGGCAAAACATGAACAAAGCCTTGTTTTTAAGAAAATCTGGGTCACCTTCCTTTCTTCTGTCCTACAGAAGACAGGAGAGAACATGGAGAAAATGGTCCCCGTGCCAGGGTCTCCCTGGGTCCAGCTCTCAGAACTTAAGGAGAAACACCAGCCCACACCCCCATCCCCCCCCCAATTCAGACTTGCCCAGTTTGTCTTTGACTCCAAGGGGTGGGTCCCAGCTCTCAGAACTTAGGGGTCAGGAGGAGTACCAGCTCACATGCCCATTCTCTCCATTCAAGTTTGTAGTTCTCTCCTCCCTACCAAAGTCAGAGAAATCCGGCTGCAGCTCTTCGATAGTGAAGACACAGGTAGGCTGGGCTAACACACCCAGAGAGCAGGACAGAGCCTTTTCTCTTTAAAGGTTTCTCCTTCTTTCCTTCCTTCCTTCCTTCCTTCCTTCCTTCCTTCCTTCCTTCCTTCCTCCCTCCCCCCCCCCCCCCTCCCTCCCTCCCTCCCTCCCTTTGTTCCTGTCTTCCTCTTTTTTTTAAGGCATATTTTTATTTTTACTTATGTGATTACATGTGTGTCTGTGTGTGGGTATGTACACCTGCAGGCTGGTGCCAGTCAGTGGAGGTCAGAAGGAGATGTCAGAGCCCCTGGAACTAGAGTTACAGGTGCCTGTGAGCCCTCTGACATGGGTGCTGGGAACAAACCTCTGGTCTTCTGGAAGAGCAGTATGTGCTCTTTTGTTTGTTTGTTTTCGAGACAGGGTTTCTCTGTGTAATAGCCGTGGCTGTCCTGGATCTCACTCTGTACACCAGGCTGGCCTTGAACTCACAGAGATCCGCCTGGCTCTGGTGTGCTGGCATTACAGGCGTGCGCCACCACACCTGGCATAGTGTGTCCTCTTAACCACTGAGCAGTTTCTCCAGACCCTTCTCCGAAGCCCTCCTTCCTGGGTCATTATAAGGCAGCTAATTTGACATTGACAATACTGTGGGAATAGACTCCAAGGCCATTCTAGCCTGTGGATCTATCAGGGTGCCATGTGAGAACCAAATTTAAATTGTGACCCCGTTGCCTGCTGGCTGGGTAATCTTGAGCAAGTTGCTTAACCTTGCTGAGTCTCCTCACCTGCAAGCTAGACACCATAATGCCTGTTTGTTGGAGCTTTGTGATAATTAATAGCATATTGAAAACACATACCACACAGGTGAGGTTTCTCTCTGTCCTCAGAGCCTCCGACAGGCTCTTTGTTCTCTGCCTAGAAGATGTGTCTCTTCTCCCTCTTCAGGTGGTTAACACGGATTCATCTCTAGTATCCTTCAGTAGACAACCAGAAGGAACTCGATAAGGTTGGCATTAGTTTTATCATCTCTAAGATGGTCAAATGGCTCAGTTGGTAAGGGACCTGCTGGCCAAGCATGAGGTCCAGAGTTTGGATTCCCGGAACCCACATGAAATGCCAGGTGTGGTGGCATCTGTAACCCCAGATGGTTTCCTAGAGCTCATTGGTCATGGTGCCTAGCTGAATCAGTGAGCTCCAAGTTAGTTCAGAGACCCTGCCTCAAAAGAGAAGGTGAATGGGCTGGGTGTGGTGGTGCATGCTTTGATTGTTTGTTTGTTTGTATTTGGTTTGGTTTGGTTTTATGAAACAGCGTTTTTTCTGTGTAACAGAAAAACTGGCTGTCCTGGAACTTACTCCATAGACCAGGCTGGCTTGAACTCGCAGAGATCCACCTGCCTCTGCCTCCTGAGTGCTGGGATTAAAGGTGTATGCCACCATGCCTCAAAGTGGTCATGCTTTTAATCATAGCACTCAGAGGTAGAGGCAGGTGGATCTCTATGAGTTCGTGGACAGCCTGGTCTACATAGTGAAACCCTGTCTCAAAAAAGAAAAGAAAGAAGGAAAGGAAGGAAGGTAGGTAGGTAAGTAGGTAGGTAGGTAGGTAGGGAGGGAGGGAGGGAGGGAGGGAGAGAGACAGAGACAGAGACAGAGACAGAGACAGAGACAGAGACAGACGACTAGGCAGGGCGTGGTGGCCACCCCTTGAATCCCAGCACTCCAGGGGTAGAGGTAAGTGGATCTCTTTGTCTTTAAGGTCATCCTGGTCTATACAGTGAGTTTCAGGCCAGCGAGAGCTACAGAGTAAGACCCTGTCTCAACAAGTCGGGTGAAGAGAGTAGAGGAACATATTCAACATTAGCCTCTGGCCTCCATGTACAAGAGAGGCCTTACATGCCTGTGCCTATACAGTCATGAGAGGTACATACAACACACACATAAAATAAAAACAAAAACAAAATAACATGGAAATGCTAATTATATATAATGCCTAGGGCTGTTACATGAAATAATAAAAAACTGGTTAGAATAGTGCTTGACAAATAATTAGGAATCAGTACTTTTTTCTTAATTTTCAATACATTTTCCAAAGGATATTTTGCATAAAGCCTGTGTTTAGCTTTTTAAATTCTCTTTGATATACTTTCTTTTTGAGACAGGGTCTCAGTATTCCAGGCTAGACTCAAACTTGCTGTGTAACTGAAGCTGACCTCTCAAGTCCTGGGATTCCAGATGTGCGGCTCCCCTGGTTTATGTGGTGCGAGGGGCAGAATCCAGGTTTTTGTGCATGCACACCCACCCCCCACCAGCTACTGTTCTTTAAACACCAGCCACCTCGTCTTTTGTCCCAGGGTTTCTACTGGCTTGCTTGTAACTTGCCAAGGGCTAGCTGGCCAGTGAACCCTAGGGATTTTCCTGTCTCCACCTCTCCAGCACCAGGATTGTAAGCATACACCACCACACTCAATTTGTATTTAATATGGGTTCTGGGGTTAAATTCAGGCCCGTATGCTTCCGGGGTAAGCACTTATTGATGGCACCATCTTCCCAGCCCACCCTTAATTATTACCTCTACACATATTGAGAATGACGTCCGACAATGTTATAATTAATTTCCCTTCTTCTATCGAGCATAAAATTTAAAAGTCAAGAGGAAAATTATAACCCACTATATTACTCAAACTTTTTAAGATTTTTATTTTATGTATATGAGTGTTTTGCCTTTATGTGTATGCACCATGTGCGGGCTAGGAACTGACCCTGGGTTCTTTGAAAGAGCAGCAAGTGCTCTTAACCACTGAGCCATCTCTCCACTCCCCCCCTTTTTTTTAACCATTGCTGTTATTCATTCTCCATTATTGATAATTTAAATTTGTTTCATTTATCATGTCCTATAGCATACTCTACGGAAGGTCTGTGGGCCACAGATTCTCAGGCTTCTTCATCCCACTCTTTGCCTTCATTCCTGAAGACTATCTTTGCTAGGTATGAAAATCCAAGTTGATGCTGACTTTCCTTCAGCACTTACAAGGTATCGATCGTACCACCTTCTTCTGGCTACTGTGATTCTTCTGAGAGGGCCACTGTCATTTGACTGGCATCCCTGGGTCAGACCTCTTAGTGTTGACACTGTTTCTCTGTTTTCCATTTTCAGTGTAATTATGACATTCTGACATGGGTTTCCGTGGCTTTATCCCTTTGGGTTTGATATTGACTTCTTGACTGTTGGCTGTCTTTTGCCAAATTTGGGAGAATTTCAGTGATTTATTTTTTATTTTTTATTTTTATTTATTTATTTCGTTGGTTGGTTGGTTTGGTTTTTCAATACAAGGCTTCTCTGTGTAGTCTTGGCTGTCCTGGAACTCACTCTGTAGACCAGTCTGGCTTCGAACTCACAGAGATCCACCTGCCTCTGCTCTCTGAGTGCCAGGATTCAAGGCATGCACCACCACTGCCTGGTAGCACTTGTTTTTAAAGATAGTAATGTAGTTCAAGCTGGCCTTGAACTCACTATGTAACCCAGGCTGGCCCTCAAACTTGTGATCTTTTGCCTCAGCCTCCTGAGTGCTGGGATTATAGGCGTGCACCACCACACACGGCCTGTGAACAGGTACTGCTGCGCAAGCTTTTTCAGCACTGTTCTTTACTCGTTTTGGGAATCTGATCTTGTGACTGTTAGCTTAATTCCGTTGGGGGGCGGGGGTTGTTTGGTTTTTTCTTCATTGTATTTCTTTTGCTCAGGAGAAAGACTATTGATCTACCGATTTTTTTTTTTAATCCTGTATTATTTTTACTCAGTTATTGAGTCTGGCCAGTCAGTTTTTGTTGTTGTTTGGTTGTTTGGTTTTTTTTTTTTCTTTTGGTTTTTCAAGACAGGGTTTCTCTGTCTACTTTTTCAGTCTTGGCTGTTCTGGAACTCACTCTGTAGACCAGGCTGGGCTTGAACTCAGGCATCTGCTTGCCTCTGCCTCCCAAGTGCTGGGATTAAAGGCATGAGCTTCCCAGCAAGTGTTTTAACTTATTTTCTTTTTAACTGTGTGTATGGGGGCAGTTAGTGCACATGAACTCAGGTGTCTGCAGAGGTTGGAAGTTGCTGGATCCCCTGGAGCTAGAGTTACATGTAGTTGTGAACTACCCGATGTGGGTGCTGGGAACCAAACTCAAGTCTTCTAGAAGAGCAGTCTGAGCTCTTAGCCCTCTCTCCAGGCCTGCCAGTGAATTCATAAATTCTATCAGTAAAGTTTCCAGTTCTATAACATCTGTTTGGATCTCAACATCTATTTTTTTCCCAGGGGTGGGGGGGAAGCAGGAGCTGGCATTGTATGTTTTCATTTATGTCAGAGAAGTCCTAAGTGTGTGTTGAGCATTTTCTTGATAACCCCAACACCTAGCAAATATATTTGGTATCTGCTGTCTGTTTTTTCTTATTCAAAGTGAAATCCTTCTTGTTTTTGTTATGACGGGTGATTTTTTGTTTTAAGTTAGATCTTGGACATTTACGTTTTATCCTGAGATCTAAATCCTACTTCAGTCTATATTGTAGCAGGTAATAATTGACTGTCAGGGACAGAACAATGTCACCACACTGTCACAGGGTGGGAAGATCACTCTGGTGTGATGTGTAAAGTAGAGTTAACCATAGCAAGGCAAGGCGATGCTCCCACTGACCAGTGCAGAGGAGTAGCAGGGGACGGTTGGGGGCCACTTTTCCCGTGGTATTTGGCTGGAATGGGGGTATTGTCACCAACCTTTCCTATCTCTTTAGCTCCAGAGATCAGGATCTGTTTCTCTGTCTCTGTGTGTCTCTTTCTCACCACCCCGCTCCCTGCCCAGTATTTCCTGCCTGTTGGTTTCTTTAGTGCTCTGTCTGAGATGTGTAGGAAAGAATTATATCACCCTGAGTCCTCAAGTTCTTTGACTTGTGCCTTCTCTCTGCAGTGTTCAGTGTCTGCCTGGGCTGTTTATATATCACACTTAGGGGTTTTAACTGTGTCTAGAAGAAAAAGGGTGTCTCTCTCATTTTATCTGGGACTGGACATCCTAGGGTTGTGTTTTTCAATTCATATAGCACAGCAAAATGGTGAATTTGTATTTGGTAACTCAAGTTCTTCAAACGCTCCTCTTTTCCTCTTTGGGACAGCTCTACACGCTTGTTAGTTTTGCTCCTTTGGAGACTCTTGTCGTTGGCGGCCTCTGGACGCAGCAAATTTGTCAACACTTGCACTTACAGCTTGCTGGGCTACTCTGATTTTCACTTCCACATTTGAAGTGGTGAATTTTTATTTTTATAGTTTGGTGGCTCCAGTTGAACTCCAACACACTAGCCACTACCTTGGTCTCCTGAGCATTTGAATTATGGTGGTGTGTGGCCACGGATGGCTGGAATGTTTACATTTAACAATTGTCTGTTGGGGCTGGAGAGCCTGCTCAGCAGTTAACAGCACTTGCTGCTTTTGCAGAGAACCTGAGTTCATTTCCCCGGCATCCTCACTCTAATCGTTTCTTTTCCATCTCTGTGTGAGTCTCTTTACAGTTCTTAGGTTTTTGTTTCTTTGTTTTTAATGTATTGTATTGCCAGGCGTAGTAGCGCACGCCTATAGTCCCAGCACTTGGGAGACAAAAGCAGGACAAGGACCCTGTGTCAGCCTCGGGTATAGAGCAAATTCCCGGTTAGCCTGGGCTCCATGGGACCCTGTCTCAAGAACAAAACCAAACCGAAGCGTTCTTTCTTCTTTACAAGACAGAATATCTATCCCATATGGTTCTGGGTACCAACTTGATGCTATCCCTTCAAGGACTTGACTCCCCTCAGTGACATCTGCTCTGCCTTGCCTGCTCCCATTAGTACCTGTCCAGGCCAGCCTGTTGTGGCCCTCTTGGGAGCAGCAGTTCAGAATCAAGAAAGGGAAGAAAGACACTACTACTTCTTCAGTGGTTTAATGGAGAACAAGGTGTTTTTTTGGACCTACTAGGCGGAGATGAAGTAGGAGAGACCTCTAGGGTCTCTGGACAGTCCCCAAATGAATGGGGAGGGGCTGGCTGCTGTGTGCCACCTCACTGTCTGCTTCCCAAGGGTACCTGGTACTTGCTAAGCTGGGTACCCTGGGGTGGAGCTACATTGGCCCAAAGGAAGGGCCAATTATCAGCTCATTTTCACAAAGACATCTGATAGTGAATGCCTTTTCTTTTTCATTTATGTGTGTATGTGTGCCTATGTGTGTGTATACCGGGTGTGTGTGTGTGTGTGTGTGTGTGTGTGTGTGTGTGTGTGCCTGTGGAGGTCTATGGAGGCCAAAAGAAGGGGTTGGATTCCCTGGAGCTGGAAATACAAGTAGTGTGAGCTACCCAGTGTGGGCCGGAAACAAGCTCAGATCCACTGGAAGAGCAGCAAGAGCTCTTAACTCCTGAGTTAGCTCTCCAGCCCCTGGACACCCTTCCTAATCCACATAGGATGCTGCGCAGGTGAGCAGTGGCTCTGGGAAAGGCAGTTTGGCCCACTTGGAACATTTCCCCCCAGGGGGCAGGTCTCAGTAGAATCAGGATATTTGCTCACAAGAGGACAGAGCCGCCTCTCCCTTCTTATTAATCATCCATCTCAGTTAGGATGAGGTGGGCCCCTTGGGCTCCTCTAAGATTGACAGCTCTCACTGCAAACGTACTAGGGAGGCAGGCCACTGTCTTAGTTACTTTTTGTAATAAATGCCATGACCAAGGCAACTCATAAAAGAAAGCATGTAATGTGGGGCTTACTGCTATAGAGGGTTAGAGTCCATGACCATCATGGTGGGGAGCATGGCATCAGGCAGGCAGGCATGGTGCTGGAGCAGTAGCTGAGAGATTACATCTGGATTCACAAGCATGAACAGAGACAGCTAACAGAGACAGAATGGCATGGGCTTCTGAAACCTCAAAGCCCAGTGTTACACCTCCTCCAATGAGGCCACACCTCCTAATCCTTCCCAAATAGTTCCACCAACTAGGGAGCAAGTATTCAAATATATGAATGCACCACAGCCATCTTCTAGGGTCTTGGACCTTGATTCACCATGAAATTTTGTACAGCATGGTGGAGCAGCACATTCATTGGTCCTACAGTGACTATCTTCCCCGAGGACACCCCCAGAGGTGTCCTGTAGTCCTCAGCTACAGAGTCCAGTGTTCTGTGTCCTCTAGTCACCCCAGCGGTGAGCTCAGCTGTAGGCAGCAAGCTCCTATCTGAAGAGAATGTCCCTGGGTAGTCACTCTAAGGTGACTTAGGGAATGTCTTCGTAAGGTGATTTGGTTGCAGCCATCTCCCCTCCACACACAAGATAGAACCCTGCTGCTCAGAGACACTCGGATCTGAATCCCATTATCAAGCTCTGCAACTCCATGCAGACATTTGACCTCTCTGAACTTGGCTCACTTTCATCATCTGTGAGATAGGGGGAAAGGTATTTGTCCTGCGTCACTCGAGGAGCTGGAAAGAATGAGACGGGGGGGGGGGGGGGGGGGGGGGGACACAGCTCTGACTCGGGTGTTGACAAGTGTAAAATTCCTTGGAAGGATAGAAGGTTTGACCATAGTGCTGGAAGATGGTACCGTCTGTTGCTGGGGTTGTAGGAAGAAGGCTGGTGGTGTGAATTTGCCACCACCCAGTATATCCAGAGCAGAACTCCCTGTAGGAAAAGGACCACGGGTAGTGGGAGAAACCACACTAGGAACACAAGAGAGCAGTCACAGTCGCTAGGGCGTGCACTCCTGGGAGCTGATCTCCCAAACCAAGAGATAGAAAAGACAGCATAGGAGATGCCGAATCCATTCCCCTATGTTCAACACTGTCCCCCAAACACTGAAGAATCTATCACCAGAGGAATGAGATCAAAGTGTACCACGTAAAGGCCATAAAGACCTTGAGTAATTTTTTTTTTTACTTGTGAGAATCATTCTCTACTCTATGCAAATGTCCTGATTTCTCCCTCTGTTTCCAAGTCATTAAGTCCATTGCATTAGCAAAATATTAGAATTCCAGTGTTATCAGTAGCATCAAGGAAAGAAATACAAGCAGACAGGCTTATGTGAGAGCGAAGGGAGCAATCCAGAAAGAAAATGTGTGCTCCAGACCCATAACGAAACAGAAGTGCCAGGAGGCCATGGTTAGTGGGTGACTGCAGTAAGTGATTAGGAAGGTTTGGAGAGTGTAGAAGACTGAGCAATCCATTAAGAAGGACATGGTGGCCAGGCATGGTGGCGCACGCCTTTCATCCCAGCACTCAGGAGGCAGAGGCAGGTGGAGCTCTGTGAGTTCAAGGCCAGCCTGGTCTGTAGAGCGAGTTCCAGGACAGTGAGGGCTACACAGAGAGACCCTGTGGTATCACTGTGACCAAAATGCCCAACAGAATCGGCAGAGGAAAGGAAATGTTAATTTTAACTCGTGGTCGCCTGGCCTCACATGTTTAGCAGAACAACATGGCTGTTCTGTTCATGGCAGCAGCGTGTGGTGGAGGACAGCTGTTTATATCTCAGCGGATCAGAAAACAGGGAGCATGTTGGAACCATGGGCCAGCCTACAGCATCCAAAGGCCACACCGAGGGACCTACTTTCTAAAGTCCTCAGTTCCCCTTAAACAGTACCATCAACTGGGGAATCAGCATTCCAAGCATGAGCCTGGAGGGAGGCATTCTCATTCAAGCTATAGCACGGACTTCCTAATCCAACTCAGTTCTTAGGACTTTATGACTAGATGATTCATTCTCAATAAGTGAGCAAGGATGTCTGCACCTTCATTTTCAAATCTAGGGAGTAAGAACTGTTGCTTTTAATGCCAACATTTCTCCATGTAGAGCAATAATTCCTTAGCCTCCGGCAGTCACGTGGTCTTCAGGACAGCTGCCTGGTTGGTTCCATCTGTAGAGCACAGCAGCACCTCTCCTTTGTGACTAGATAATGTTAACTCTAGAATCCAGATCTCAAAAATCAGTCAACAAAGGGCTCCCAGGGGCTTGACTGTCATCAGATACCATTCTTTCTCTTTGCAGAGGAGAAGCTGTAGCCCAGAACCGTGGCTTGCCATGTGCCAAGGAAGGGGGAACCAGAGTCAAGAACTCTGGCAGAGATGTCATAGAGGGGTGTTTCTTTGGTTGTTGTGACCACATTGGGCTCCTTATCCCTTATCCTTATGAGTGCAAGACACAGCTGTGCTCCACTATGCCTGCATTGGATGGGGCTTACTTCCAATGGTCCCCTGCAACACTCTTAACAGTTCATGGGACTTACTTCACCAGAGTCTGTTTTTTTTTTTTTTTACCCTTTTAGCTCTTTGGTGGGGCCACCCAGCTCCCAGATAAATCACACGGAAACTTATTATTACTTATAAATGCTCAGCTTTAGCTTGGCTTGTTTCTAGCCAGCTTTTTTGTTGTTGTTGTTTTTTCGAGACAAGGTTTCCCTGTGTAGTTTTGGTGCCTGACCTGGATCTCGCTCTGTAGACCAGGCTGGCCTCGAACTCACAGAGATCTGCCTGGCTCTGCCTCCTGACTGCTGGGATTAAAGGCATGCATCACCACTGCCTGGCACTAGCCAGCTTTTCTTAGATTAATCTGTCTACCTTTTGCCTCTGAACTTTTTTTTTTTTTTTTTGGTTTTTTGTTTTTGAAGACAGGGTTTCTCTGTGTAGCTTTGGAGTCTGTCCTGGACTCACTATGTAGCCTAGGCTAGTCTCGAACTCACAGAGATTTGCCTGCCTCTGCCTCCCAAGTGCTGGGATTAAAGGCGTGCACCACCACCGCCCAGCTTTGTCTCTGAGTTTTACCTTTCTCTATTTCTGTATATCTTTTCTTTCCATCTTATTCCATGTCTGGCTGTGTGGCTGTGTAGCCGTGTGGCCGTGTGGCTGTGTGGCTGGCTTCTCCTTTTCTCGCTTCTTCATCTCTCTTCCCAGATTTCTCCTCCTATTTATTCTCTCTGCCTGCCAGCCCTGCCTGTCCTTTCTCCTGCCTCGCTGTTGGTCATCCAGCTCTTTTTTAAACCAATCAGGTGTTTTAGACAGGCAAAGTAACACAGCTTTGCAGAGTTAAACAAATGCAACATAAAAGAATGCAACACATCTTTGCATCATTAAACAAATGTTCCACAGCATACACAAATGTAACATCTTAATATTCTACAAGAGTCCCAATGCAATTGCCTTTATTATGCTTCCTCATTAAGAAGAATTTGAATATAAGCCACTATTGCATTCCTTATCCAGTATGGATCTATATTAAAATCATTGCACTTCAAAGGGCTTAAGTCCATGATGGTCACTCAGCCAGGCTGAAGGAGTGGACAGACGAACGACTGCTTGGAACCACTAAGGACTCATGCCATTTAGATGTGAAAGAGACCTGAAGATCACTGAACCCCACTTCTCCTTTCTGCTGAGTCCCCAGGCAGGAGAGGATTTATACAAGTAGAAGAACACTATGTCACCCCTCCTCTGTCCTGCTTCAAGCCACAGTGATTTCTTTCACCCATCCTGCTTCTCAGTATTTTGATGTGAAGTCATTAAAATTGCCAATATGCTTGCATTCTGGCACACAAACTAAATATTTATAATGTCTAATATAAAATACTACTCCATACAAAATGGAGGGGTCAGATTTTTGTTTTTGTTTTTTTAACCCTATGGAATTTGATCATTCTGAAGAATACTCTGTGTTCTAAATCACTATAGACAGTAAAACTGAAATTTGAAGCAGTAAACTATTCTATTTTGGGAACAATAGAGGTGTAGTCAGGAGGAGCTGGGCATTCTAAGAAGGGAGTTGTATAAAAGAGCTCACTTTTAAGTCAGCTCTTAGGAGTATTTGAATGCAAAGAAGATTAGTACAGATAAAGGGAAGGTACAGGCACTTAGCAGATGACAAATGGCACCCTCACTGCCATCGAGAGAAGGAACTTTGAGCTGAAATGGTACTTATGGGAAATAAATTAAAATCTCAGATGTTTTAGTCAGGAAGTCTCATTAGGATGCAACACAGAGTCTCATTATGGGTTATTATATGGCGTGACTAAAAAAAGGAGAGACATCTGAGAGGGACGAGGCTCGACCAAATAGCAGTCTCACCGTGTCTGGTTCTGTATTAATACAGCAACACCTGATGCTGTCCTCCATCAAAAATGACTCTTCGGGGTGACGAAGGAGAAGACTGACTGATTTGTATTGAAATGACAGCTGTTAGGGTAAACCTCTTCTGAGAAGCTTACGTGTGTGTGTGTGTGTGTGTGTGTGTGTGTGTGTGTATTTGCCAATTTATTCATTCACTCAGAAGCATTTATGGCATAGTAGGAAGACAAAACCCAGTAAGGCATTATCTTTTTCAAGAGGGTCCCAAGAAGACAGACACACTAGCAAAACACTGTAATGAGTGTGTGTGTGTGTGTGTGTGTGTGTGTGTGTGTGTGTGTGTGTGTGTCGGGGGGAGGGGTGATTTATCTGACAGATGTGGAAATTTATCAGATACACTGAGGGAGACTAGGAGGGCTTGAAGAAGCAGAAAATATTAAAGGATGAGTTTGTCTGTCAGGCAGGGTAGAGGTGGGAACTGAGGAAACCTTCTAGTGGGTGGTGAGCACTCACGCCAAGTCTTCAGTTGTAAGAAGTTCTGATGTGAGCCTCAGGGCAGCTGCTTTAACTGTACGCAGGAAACTTACTCTCTGGACGCTCAGCCTCTTTCTCTGAGGTAAGCAGAGCAAGCACACTGTTATAAGCAGGTAACAGCCGATGGATTAAGCATCACTAACAGTGCTGGCTAGCAGGCCATCCCCCTGCCCCAGAGCAGAATTTAGATCATTGCCAGGTTGCAGGTGTTCCTGTGATGCCCCCTTTCCTGAGGAAGAAACCCAGAACAGAGGTTCTAGAACTTTCCCCAAAATTACACAGGGTAAAAAAGTGGCAGTATTGGGATTTGAACCCAGGTGCCTGGCTCTTAGTCTATATTTTTAGCACAAAGCTTGTGTCTTCTTCTTCTTTTTTTTTGATATGGAATGCTTCATGAATTTTTGTGTCATCCTCTTGCAGGGACCATGCTAATCTTCTCTGTATCCTTCCATTTTTTTAGTATATGTGAAGCTGAAGCGAGCACAAGTTCGTGTCTTTTATTTCATGATGTAGCCTGGGAACATAGGTGTTTGGTGGGCAGGTGTGCAAGGAGTGGAGATGGGCCTTTAGCCATAGTAGGGCATTAAGACTTAATTGCCAGGCATGGTGGTGCACACCTTTAACCACAGTACTTGGGAGGTAGAGGCAGGAGGATCTCTGGGTGTTCCAATCCAACCTGTCCTATATAGTGAGCTCCAGGTAGAGAGACTGTATCTAAAAAAAAAAAAAAAAGAAAAAAAGAAAAAAAAGAAAGGAGCAGCAGAGGAATCTTCAGGAAAGGGACTTATCAGATTGTGTTTAGAGACTGTGGCAGCGTAAGAAGGATGAAGGAGAAACTGGTGAGACGGGAGGTATTACCACAACCCTGGTAAGAAGCAGCGAGACTGAGCTGGACAGAGCTCAGTGGTTAAGAGTGTGTACTGCTCTTGCAGAGGACCTGAGTTCAGTTCCCAGCACCCATGTCAGGTGACTCACAACAGCCTGTTACTCCACCTCCAGGGATCTAATGCTTCTGGCCTCCATGGGCATCTACATTACATGTTCATATGCACGTGAGTGCACACACACACACACACACCCACACACACACACACACACACACACACACCATTGTTACGAGTCTTTCTCTTTAGTGCCAGCCCCCAAATAATGACACATAGACTTCTTACCAATTATGAAAGCTCAGCCTTAGCTTAGGCTTGTCCACTAGCTCTTATAATTTAAATTAACCCATTTATATTAACATAGATTTTGCCTTGTGCCTTTTTACCTTTCTCTCATTCTGTATATCCGACTCCCAGGTCTCATTGGCATGTCTCTGCACCTCAATTTTCTCCTCTGACTTCCTCTCTGTGTGCCTGGAAGTCCCACTTACACTTCCTACCTAGCTATTGACCATTCAGTTTTTTAGTACACCAATCACAGCAATACATTTTCACCCAATGTACAAATATCCTACAACATTTCTCCCTTTTTGTCTAAATAAAGGAAAGATTTTAATTCTAACATAGTAAAACTATATACAATAAGAACAATTATCAGGAATTAGATTTACAATGTCCAGTCTTATCTGTATTTGGCAAATTCAGATAAAATATTCCATTATCTATCCTATCTTGGTGAATCCAAAGTTTTGTACCTAATTTACCTTTTATTCTAACTTGTATTACCAATCCAAAACTATCTTTTTAGACTTTAAAACATTTTCTTAGATAAACAAATTAAGCTTTTATGTCTCTCAACCCTATATAGTTTACATCTATTATGTAAGTTTCTTTTCTGAATTTGGTAGCAAGGAAAATTGTAACTATAACTATCTTGTCTTTAATTCCATCATGGACTCGGAGAAGGATATATTACCTGAGTAAACCAGAAGTGCAGAGCAAACAACTTCCAAAACTATATAAACAACAGAGACAGCTGGCTGCCTGGACAGTCACTCAAGTTTCCTCTGTAGTATTGGGTCATCCATCTTTGGCCTACCAGTCTAGAATATCTGACAGATTTTTCTGTGAAGAAGGAATTTGAAGGACTGTCCTACCTTGTCTTGGCAAGGTTTAGCAGTCACTTTCTTTTGTGTCCTGCATGTCCAGTTTGTAGAGCATGCTGTCAGCAGCTGAGACAAGGGCAGTTTCTTGCCCAGTGGCTAGTTTTGCCACAATAAAAGCAAACTCCATATGGAGGTTCTTTGATGCTCATCATCCTTTTTTTTGAAGTGAATTGGTGCTGCCAGGAGCAGGTATATCTCACTGTCATAAAAGCCTTAGGTCATTAAACTTATTAAATGCCATATTATGTTGGTCTCTGAAGTATTTGAAGACCCTCTATCTATCTAAAATATATCTCTGTTTAACCTTGAAGGCATACCTAACATAACTACAAGTTTGATTATTATAGATGACTACTAACCTGTATTTCTTAATTATAGATTATATTTTTAAATGACCAGCATAGGTACAATACGTTAAACAAGAGTAGAAACATATATACACTATAAAAAAAACTTAAATTTGTATCAATATACAAAAATACATACCAATGTAAAATATTTGAGACTAGTGGTTATTCAAAAGTAGACCCAACAATACACCTCTTTATCCCATCATTATATGCTATATGCCCCTTTTTCCCTTAAGAAATGATCATTGAATCCAACCTTGTTGCTTAGTTTCCTCTCTTACCATGACCAGTAACAATTTTCAGCCAATCCATGTAAACAATTACAAACATCCATACCCCACCAAATGACCACCCACCCCACCTCTTGGGAATGTGGTCATCATGTTCCTATTGTCTGAGGGCAATGGCATCTTTAGGGGACCCTAAGAAAATGGGGATAATGGTCAAGTCTTGGGAAAACTAGCCGTATTATTTGTTGTTCAGTCTCTGCGTGATGGGAAACTGTACAGCTTAACTGAAGTCTTGGCTGGATAGTCTGTGGGGCTGGACCATCTCAGCCAGCAGCCGTGAAGTTGTTCTGGATGTAGAATTTTGATGAAACTGCTATAGAGTCATTCTGAGAGGTTGGATCACCTGGACTACATGTCTCCATTGGTGTTTGGTCCTTTTTTCTTTTCTAAAAACATACAAACTTTTAAAGGTAACATATATATCTGTATTAACCCAAGTTGGTTTGTACAAGTTAGCTAAATACTTTTTTTTATATTTGAGCAGAAAAAAGGCATCTGTCAACTTCATAAGTCTATTTGGTATAACCAAACCTCTCTCCATGCCATGTGAAAGGACAGTATTAATAATAAGTCATGAGGATTTTTAGCCAACAAGATTTATCTTGTCTCATCCAGTCTCAGAGCTGTTTGCATGAGGGATCAGCATATACATCACCTATCTCGTAGTTTTTCTTGATTAATTTCTTTATGTCTGTAGAAAAGATTTTCAGGAGGTCTCCCTGATCAAATCTGGTCTCTATTAATTTTGAAGGAATCCACAGCTTCTCATTTCCTGTGGAAACGAAAGTACAGCTTCTTCCCCAATGCAACATATTTTCCATTCTGAATTTCCATTCTGAAGCCAAGACATCCCTAAAGTGTATAGGCTGGTTTAATTCAGCAGTCCCTCTCATAATCCAATGTCTCTCAGCAGTTGTCATTTTTTATTCATTAGCATTTAAAAAAATTCAATGCCAACAAAGCACCATACAGGTTCCAGACACCCTGTGTACTTCCCATCTTTACATGGCTTTTTAAAAATACTCTTTTACTCTCTTTTTAAAGACTTCACTTTATAAATTTTAAACTATTTTTTATGAGTGTCTATACATCTTTTCTTTTCTTTCTTCAGCACCTAAGCACATTTTTAAGCATGCTATATCTGTTTAGAGGTTTTCTCAGTCTAGATCTGACTTTTTGTGCATCTGCAGCATTTTCTGACCATGAGGCAAATTTCATACTCCTCTGGCTGCTGGCCATGCCCCTCTGTTCCCTGAGGGCCTAGCCTCATGTCATTGGATACTGGGTGGGAGCTGTGTTTACTGCTCCAGCTCTGGGAATTTGTTGAGTGTGAGCAGCAGGCATTTTTCCTATAAACTGCTGCAAGGGCGATAGATGAAGAGGAGTGTGTAAGAGACATTAGGGAGACAGGGTGGACTGGACCTAGTGGCCGCCAGGAGTGAGGTTTGGCTTTGGTGCCTGTAGGAAGATGGTGCCTGCACAAGTAGAGACAGAAAAACATAATTTAAGGGAAAGATATGCATTTGTTCCTGGCTCTGTTGAGCCTGGGACCCTGGAGGGGTATTCGGGAGGTGTTCAGGCATCATTTGTGTGTCTGGGTTTGGAGCTCAAAAGAATGACTGGACTTGAGTCACCAGTCCATAGAAGTCAGATGCAGAAAGACAATGTTTTCTCTTATATGTAATTTAGACTCCATACATACACATATACTTGAAAATGGGAGACTATTTGGGAAGATAAAGAGAGCTGACTAGCCGGGCGGTGGTGGCGCACGCCTTTAATCCCAGCACTCGGGAGGCAGAGGCAGGCAGATCTCTGTGAGTTCGAGGCCAGCCTGGGCTACCAAGTGAGTTCCAGGAAAGGTGCAAAGCTACACAGAGAAACCCTGTCTCTAAAAACCAAGAGAGAGAGAGAGAGAGAGAGAGAGAGAGAGAGAGAGAGAGAGAGAGAGAGAGAGAGAGAGAGAGCTGACTAGGAGGAGGAAGGGGGATAGGAATGGGGTGGTAAATATGGCAGTACACTAGGTACTTGCCTGAAATGTCATGATGAAGCCTGTCACTTTGTACAATAAATATGTTCTAATAAAATTAAGAAGAATTGCTCCATAGGAGTGCAAAAAGAAAGACGTCCAACAGGCAAAGAATGGAACTGTGGGATCTACCAGGCTGGCAGATGAGGGAGAGCCAGCCTAGGAGGCTGTCGGGCAAGAGCGGCCAGGATGGCAGCCCACAGAGTGGGGGCTCTGAAGCCAAAGGTAGCCCTGCTGGAAGGACACCTCTGACCTCAGCAGCTAGGAAATTGGTGACGGATAGGATCAGACCTGATGGGAAAATTTTGCTCTTGTTGGACAACATGGCTGAGCTCTTGCTTTCCTGTCTGACACATGCCCTGTTTGGTGCTTAATCTGTACTGTGGGCATAATTTAGTTATTGATCTTCGTCTATGACATAGACATTCAATTAAACTTTTTTTTTTAAATTGTAGGTTCACAGGCTATTGTGAAATATATTTAATTTTCTTAAAGCTGACTTTAAACTCAACATGGCTTCTGAATCTTCCATTTCTACCCACTTCCCCTAGAGGTGCTTACCCTGTCTAGAACAGAAACAGGGAAGAGAGGCATCCACCCATGGAAATGGGTCTTCCAAAAATGGAGCCACTGGCGAGAGAGTGGCCTGGGTTTGGGACTGGAAGCTCGGGAGCTGGTGGGAGCTAGCGTGTGCAGGCCCGATTGGTTCCCAAGGGCCGAGGGCTGACCTGTAGCTTGCCCCACCTGACCTTGAATTAAGGATCCCG